TCCGGCTCCACTTCAAGGATGCATGGACGAACCCGAGTGGAACTTCGGGTTTGAATACGACAACAACGGAAGAGTCAACATCCTCCGATCACAGTTCTTCGACGTCGGATTTGACTTCGACGATACCGTCGAAGAATACTTGGACCGGATCTTGCCGACGCTCGTAGATTCCATTGACGAACACTTCTCCGTCTACACTTAGATTATCAAAGGTCGATCTACCGTGCCTCCTCCGCCTTCGAGATCCTTTCCCACGACAACGTTCCTTGGTACCTCCATCTTAGTGGCAACCTCCATGCTAGTCTGGACAATCTTCCGTCGCTCAACTTTGTCTCCGTAGGAAAGAGAGAGTTAAAGGTCTCAAGGTGTGAACAACTTTGTATTAATTGTGGTATTTTTATTTACTAGCCTTTGCCTTATGTTTTCCTTTGCGTTTGCTTAAATGGTTTAGTTCTCTTGTTGTAGTTTCTTTGCCTGGCAAGTTGAACATCGCGAATTACTTATAATCAACTTAACTTTGATGCATGATTAGATAATTTGTGGAGCTAAAATTTAATTCTCTTTTTTTTTTACTCTTGTGTAACTCCACCCTTGCATCACATCAATATGTGTGAAGAACTATAAATAGGATCCCTCCTCATTTGTGACTCACTCCATAGCATCCAAGTTTTCAAGCCTTGTAAAGTGCTTTCTTAGTGAAGAGTGTTTTTTCCCTTTTAACTTCCACTCTTCAATTTCAAGTGCTCTTCCCTAGGGTTGTTAGGAGTTAGGCTGCTTAGCATTAGGGTTGAGGAGCTAAGGCTGCATGGAAGACTTAAGAAAGATCTCTCCGTGACTATATGCTGTACATAATTCTTTACAATGTTGGATTTGGGGGAGGGGTTGGTGTAATCTATACAAAGACGTTCATGTTATCTAATTAATTTATTTATGACAAGATGATCCCTTTTTTATTTCATTTTTGTTGTCTCTATGAAAAAGGTCCCTCCTATTTAAAGGGGTGACTTAATATGTATGAATTGATGAATGCTATTAAATGTCCAAATCGTTTTATTCTTCTCTCCTTCTCTTCTCTCATTCCTTTCTCTTTCCATCCTACATTAAGATCCCCTCCTTACTCCTACGAGCCTTCCCGGTACCTCATCCCTTCTCTGAGGAAATGTGCCACCGCCCAAGTCATTCTTTCTCCATCTATATTATTGGGGCTCTTGTCAGAAGAAGGATCAATTCTGGTCATCACTGCAAGATGCGCTGTCAGTTTGGACCACCTCCTGCTTTGTAGATACCTGGGAATATGTAATTACTCGTCTCTGAAAAATTTCAGTGACTGTAGATTTGAGCTTTTGGATGGCGAAAGAAATTCAATGGTCACTTCTCTGCTGAGCGAGATGCAATTTCTCATCTCATCGCTAAAAATTTTCTCCTAAACTATGCCTATGGTTGTTCTAGGTAACGTTTTATAATTATAAATTGTAAAAGATACAAGCAATGCAGGAACTTGTGCATTATTATTTTTCTGATTGACTATTGAAACTACATGCATTCTCTAACAAATGAGCAAAGATGCTATGTCACAGATTTGTGCAGTATTTTAAACTATGAGCAAAATCTCTTCTTTAATATGTAAATTCTCAATATTATATTTTTTTATCCTTAATATATGGAAAATCGACTTTGTTTGATTGTTAGCTTATAAGTTGGTCAGAGTGGACATGCCAAACATATTTTTGTTCGATAATTTGCTGCTAATGACAAGAATTGCTCAGTGCAGAAATAACAATTATATCTTGGCTTTGCTCTTGCAGGCAGACTGAAAAAGCAGTTCTTCTCATTGACTTTTCTGACTATTTGCAGACAAGCGTGTATGGATGCTTTGTACCGGATATGCTAGTTTTGACATCAATTTTATCTGCCAATCACACTCTTTTTATCATACTAACGCAAGAATTTATCTTCAGTTATGTGTTAGGTGCTGTTTTCTTGCAGCTCTGCAAAATGTTGAGGCTTTCAGATCATCCCATTGTTCAAAAACTTATTGATCCAAGTCTTTTCATCCATCGGTTCACAGAGCGTTAGTTACATTCACTCCTATTTACTATGCAGTCGAATTTTTTCTTTCTTGCACAGCATGCGCTCTATTGCACTTATTGAAATAAAAATTTAGCACTTAGGACTTATGATGTAGAACCAAGCTAGCCATGGTTGGGCAATTCAACATCTGAAATTTAATTTCAGATTTTAATATTTGGAGAGGAGGGAAAAGTTTGAATTTGAATCTTCTCCAATTAAAGGAGAGGGAGGCAGGGTGGGCGGCCCCTTGATGGGGATTTAATTGAGTGATTAAGAGGGGTTGCTAAGTTTGAAAATTTAAATTAGGAAAGGAGATTTAGAGTATCTCCTTTTCAAAATTTAAATTAATTTAAATGGTAAGACCTTTCCTAATTTAACTCATATATTTTAGGAAAATAATTTTAGATTTTAAAGAATTTAAAATTTGATTTAAAAACTTTGATTTTTAATTGATTTTGAATTGGGAGGGAAGCAAATTCAAAATTTTGAAATTAATTTTAACCAAAAGGGTGGAGGTAAATGGGGAATTGATGGCTTAATTGGGGGAGCTTTAATGAGCCTTCTAATGAGACAGAGAGAGAGAAGGGTCCCACATGCATTAAAGAAGATTGGAGGAGATTAGGGGATTTAATTGAGTTTTCAATCTAAGTCAATTTAAATTAGGAAAGAAAATTTAATACAAATTATCTCTCCAATTTAAATTCAATTTTAAACGGCCTTGATTGGAGGGGCTTTCCAAATATAACTCCTCTTAATTTAGGAAAGAATTTCAAATTCGAATTGAATCGAAATATGAAATTAAAACTCTCTTAATTTAGATTCACCACGTATGGAAAGAAACTAATTTAGAGATTTGAAATTTGGAGGGAAAGGATGGGTATTATGGCCGACGACTTGGAGGAGGGGAAGGATTTTAGGGTTTGGGCTGGCGACTAGGAAGAGGAGAGGTTTTGAACCGGCGGTTGGGAGGAGAAGAGGAGTGGTTTTGGGTGTGGGGATTCAGCTAAGAGAGAGAAGGGAGGATGGGGTTCGGCCTAGGGCTAAGGTGGGGAATTTCGGCCGAGGGAGGGAGAGGGGAGTAGGGGGCCGACGGCTAGGAAGGAAGGAGGGGAAGTGGCGGAGAAGATAAACCACGAGCCTAGGCGCTTCCTGCGGCTGATGGGTAATGCTTTGCCCTCACCTAGGGACTTCAAACCACGAGCTCGGATGCTTCCTACGGCTGGTGGGTAGCATGATTTCCTCACCTAGGGACTTCAACTCTCATAAAAATTCTCAAAGCTCTTAAGAACAAGAGTGCATAATTTTTTTTTTTAAATAATCATCCATCCCTCAAAAGAAGAGTGAGCTATAAATAGCCAAAATACAATAATAAGATAAATGACAAAAGTGCCCCCCCCGGGGTCATATAGGCTTACTCCCTCAAGTGTGGGCAAAAGCGGAAAAATTGCATAAATAAATCAAAATACAACTAATGATTCAAAGTGGCACAATCATGACCGTCGATCTTCGGCTCCTCCTCTGATAAACTTTCATGGTTGGATGTCCTCATCAACTTAAAAATATTTCTCATGTCAAAATTTGAGCATAATTTTTTACTCCTTTATTTTTTGGTTGACTTATTAGAGGTGTAAAGTAAAATAAATGATATTTGATTTTTCCGGTGTTTGGCATGAAGTAAAAAAATATAAAACTAATTTTTTTAAGGAATTTAAAATATCCCCAAAGCTCATGTTTGATGAATTCCAAATTCACCTAAATCAGATGAAATCAATGCTCACTGCTACACACGACCCTCCTTCAACATCATTGTTGCATGCTACTCACTTCTTCAACATCATTGCTGCATGATTCTCCTCCTCCGACACCACCCCTTCTTGTTGAGTGCTCCACCCGTGACTAAGACATTGCGTGCTTCATTGGCTACTTTCTATCCCCACTTCCCACACTGTGTGTTCCATCACTGACGACTTCTTCTTTCATCCTTCATCTCCATGATTCTTAACATTCTTCTCTAGTCTAGATCACTCTAGCTACCCCTCCCCCTCCCCCTCCAACTTTGGCTTTACCTCCCCCTTCCTCTCTTGCTCCATATTTACTTTGATGGCATCTCCTCTACTCTATGGGTGTTAAAATGGGTGGACATGTCGAGTTCGGATTTGGCTTGAATTTGGCCCGACTTGAATCTAGTCAACAAGGACCCGACCCATTTGAAAAATGGGTTGAAAAAACCAACATAAACCTGACCCGCTAGCAATCTGAATGACATGAACCTGACCCGTTAACTATTTTGGTTAAATTTTTTTAATAACTTATTAACTGTAAAATTTATGATATTTGATAAAAAATAAGAGGATTATACCCATAATTGAAAAAATAATAAGAAAAGAAATTAAACATGTCTTTCTCTAGTAAAAAGCGAGTTTGCGGGTCAACCCGAATTTGACCTGTTTAATTAATGAATTGGAAAACCCAATCTGTTTATTTATCTAGTCAGCTAAAACCCAATTTTTTTTCTAGTTGGGTGATTATTGACACCCTTACTCCACTCTAACATATTGGGCCAAAAAATTTCAAAGAAAACCAACAACGAAGATAAATTATAATAGCCCTCTTCTTTCTGTAGCTATCTAAAAACATAAAAGGCTATTTTCTTTGTTGAACCTTGTTCCAGACCATCATCGAAAAAAACAAATTGCATTACCAAAGGAAAAAAAAAATCCCTAATACGAAACTACTAAGTGATAGCATTCCTCCTTTAACACAATACGAAAAGGAGGAGGAATATTATTACAACTAACATCTTCCTAAATAAAATCACTAAAAGTGGCATAGTTAGCATACAAATCGGCTAACTTATTACAATACCTATATGAACAATTAAATAAAATTTGATCCTTTAAGAAACAAAAGCTTCTTCAAACGGTAATTGCCAATATCCAACTCTAATTTCCTGAAAGAATCTTCGAGCAATTTGATGATATTATAATTATCACCTTCAATAATGATACATTTGTATTGAAACATCCCTTCTTGCATTATCTTCTCCAACAATTGAATACCCAACAATTCCAACCGAGATATATCTCAATGTAAACAATTGAAACAAAAAGCGAATAAAAACCTGCCTTTATTGTCTCGAAACACCTCTCCAAAACCTCCTTTATTCGTACTCAATAAAGTAGCATCAACATTCACTTTAATCCAATTAGGAGGAGGGTGCCAATAATTATTATCCACATGAGAAAGCTGATTAATATCCCAGTGGCCTGACATGAGAGTAAATTTTGAAGAAATAGCAGAAGTAATAACATTAGAGGCTATAATAATCGAACTATCTTTATTATCACCATGTTTGACTTTATTCCTACTCTTCCATGAGAAAGAAACAACTGAACAAAACAAAATTGCTAAAAAAGAATGTCTACCAGCCATCTCTTTTAGCCCATCATAGCATTCATTAAATGATTTAAAAACAGGAATATGAAAACCCCATTTAATCAGGCATTTGAATATCTGAACCAGCTTTTGCACAATTGACAGCGACATGATCCGAATCCTCTAAAGATTGGCAACCTCTCGGGCAAGTGTTAGAATCAATTAACTTACTGTACATGAGAAAATGATTAGTAGGAATTGCTTTATTGAGTAATCTCCACCAGAATACTTCAGTCCTTGGGTTTAGCTTTAACTTCTTCATCCATTTCCAATAATATATTTCAGAACCTCCATCCTGCTTTGATTCAAAAGACAACATAGCAATTGTCTTTCCATAATTTATTTTTTTAAGTTCCAACAAATCTCCATCTAGTTCAGGAAACACAGGAATTTGTTGAATGAGAGAAATAAGCGGCTTACCAAAGTATTACTCAGGTCTACCTCATTCCAATTACCATTCAGCAACAATTTTTCCACAGTAATTTCCAGATTATGTTCCACCTTCATGAACGCAGGCCACTCAATGTTTCTATCAAGAATCCAAGCATCCTTGAATATATTAAATGATTTCCCAGAAGAAATCTTCCATCCGACAACTGGATACAAAGAGCTTGCACCATGTTTTAAAAATTTCCATGAAGAAGAACACCCCTTCCTTATTTCAGAATTCCAAATATCAGATCCATACTTAGCTGCCAGATTTCTGTTGAGAAGGGATTTAGAATTATGAATAAAACTCCAAGCAAATTTAGCTCAGAAAGGTTCCAATTTTGAAACACATGAGTGAAGGCCACGACCTCCCATGATTTTTAGTTTACAAAGAACTTCCCAAAACACATAATGAAGGCCTTGTTTACCATTCTTCTTGTGCTAAATAAAATTCCTGTACGTCTTATCTATATCATACAATAAATCCTTTGGAACAAGAGAATGAGTAGAAATAAACACTGGAAGCGAGAGAATAACAGATTTAACAAGACTTAATGCAGCTAAATCTTCCGGCTAAAGAGTTAATACAGATTTAATTCGCTTCCAGTTTTTATTTCTAAATCCTCTCATTGCTTTAATCCACTTTGAAGTATTACTATTTACCAAAATAGAGAACCTAGGATCTTCCACACATTCCATGATGAGCTCTGAAAATTTAAATGGAAAACCGAAATATTCCAAAAATTGTCTTAATGTAGGCCACCCCATACTATAATAAGCCTGTTCTATATCAATTTTGATCGACACAAAGCCCTTTTTTGTTTTAGAAAACCTAAATTTATTGAACAATTCCTGTGCAATTAATACATGATAAGATAAAGACCTTCCTTTAACAAATGCAGCTTGATCTTTAGAAATCAATTTAGGAAGAATAAACTTGAATCTATTCAAGAAAATCTTTGCCATAATCTTATAAATAGATTTACAAAGACTAATGGCCTATACTTGGATGGAAGCAAAGGATTCTGAACTTTAGGAATAAGTATAATTAATGTATCTTTCCATTCATCATACATATTTCCATAACATAAAAATTTATTAATAGCCTTCCAAACATCCTTTTTAATAATGCTCCAA